AATAGTAAAAATATTTTAATATAGATCCAATGATAAAAAACCATCCAAGAGGGAGAGTATTATTTTTATTTTAAAAATAATAACTAAATAGAAGGGGTAAGATGGTCAAAATTAAACCTATAAAATAGTTGGAAAAATCGAAATGAACATTTTTTTATTAATAAAAATCATCTTGTCATTTTTTAAAACGGAGTGACAAATAGAAACACTGGCGTGAATTCTCTAGATAGGATAAACTTGAAGAAATGTGAAAAGCTGAAGCCCATGCTCAAACATGCACAAAGCCTACATATGAAGATGTCACATAAAGCCCAATTGAAGTAAGAACCTTAGGCTCAACATTGGTTCATATTCTCGAAAGCTCGCGCCCTATTGGCTCGGGTGGCTGTAAATCTAGCATAATTGATATAAAGTATTATATAAATAATAATTAAAAGAAATTAAAAAAAGAATCTCATTTTCATAGAAAAAATTATCATATTTACAAGTTTAATCTATGAAGTTTCAAAGTTGTGTTTAGTAGATCTCTGAATTGAATGTGTAATAGATCATTGAACTTTCAATCTTATGTCTAATATATCCTTAAAGTTTGGACTTTTGTCTAATGGGTCATTTATTTTTCTACATTTTCTGAATTTATAGATTTGTGGATGTAAAATTGAATTTTGTTACTATTAGACCATAATCTTTCAATTTTGTATTTAGTTAGTTAGTAAATTATTTTTTAAAAAAATATTTAATAAATCATAGACCTAGTAGCATTACACAAAAATTAAAAGTTTAAGGATTTATTATAAATTTTTTTAAGTTCAGAGACCTATTAGATATAATTTTAAAAGTTCAGGGACTAAACTTGTAATTTAATCTTTAAAAAAATTATGCTTTATTAACATTATAAATGTTATAAAGTTATAAATTTTTTTTGCTCTAAACAAAACATAATTCATGAAATAAATCAACTCAAGGATGAATAGACAGGAAATAGTAAAAGGTGTAATTTATCCATTAGTCATATTTACCAAAAATATATTGTGATAAATTATTTAAAATATATTCGATTAATAAATACAACAATTTAATTTCAACACAATTTAATCTAGCATGACAAAATATATTAATTCCTCTCAATAAAACCATTAATTCACTTAAAAGATATATAATTTCACCAACATATAATACAACAAACAAAAAAAGTAAATTTTCATATTTCATTTTACCATTGATAAAAAAATATATGTAATATTAAAGAATATTTCAAATTCATGTTTCTTTTCTATTTCAATTAAAAAAAACATAAATATATATATATATATGCTTGGCAACTATTTTTGTTCTTTATTTAATTTTATTGAAAAAATAAAGTAACCATTAAATTAGAATTCAAAAAGTAAAAATTTTATTTTTATGTTATTATTAGTCCAAGAATGAAAAAACAATAGTTTTAGTTATGTTATAGAAAAAATTGTAAACAGAAATAAGAAATAAGAAAATCATTTTTTCAAAATTTATATATAATTTTGGGAATATTTCTAAAAAAAAAGAAATCAGAAATAAAAATAATTATCAAATGCTTATATTTTTCAATGAAAAACGAGAACATTACCGAACAGACAATAAGAAAAATTCAAGATATCATTCTTGAACAATAATTTAATATATAAAGAAAAAAGTTTCAAAAAAGTGAATCATATTTGAATACCATTCTTTTGATATCATGATTACACACAATAAATATGGAGTGTCTCTATAGTTGGAACCAAATGTTCACACACCTTTAAAGACAATCTACTTTTAGAATTTGTAAAAACAAAGGCAATATTTTTAATCTCTAAAAACCCATTATTTTTCTAGTTTTTAATTCTTAAAATGATATTTTTAATAAATGGACCGAAAACCAAAAACAAAATGATTATCGAAATGCAACGTTTACAAACCAAACCAAACCAAATAGATATTTATATTAGGGGTTTTGTCTGCACAATAAGGTTAAACACACAAGCCATTGGAGAATCTGAATTCTGAGCCTGAAGAAGATTAAGCTAACAAAAACAACTTCTTTGAGACCTCAAGTTAATTTCCATCCCATTCCAGTCCCTAACTACCTCGTCGGAAATACGATCACGATTAAGTTAACTTCAAAAATCAGAGGTTACATAACGTTGCTACGCCCACGAACAATGCATCCTTCAAAACATGAGTCCCCTCCGTCGTCTAGTCCGATTTAACACCTTGGGCTGTGCTGTAGTATGACCCTTCACTGCTCTTCCCTTCTTCCTTCAACTGATTACACACCAACAACAAATAATTAGAACACACGATATCGTGTCGCCAACCGCAAAGTAGACGATATATCGACCAGAACAACGAAAAATGCACATGACAGTTATAAATCCGCCTTCCTTTTTCTTTTTCTACACCATCTCTACCCCCCAAAACCAAAAGAAAGCAAAATGACAAATAGAACAGATGCTGAGAGCAAAAAGAGGCAACTGTTTCAGATGAAACAGGTTTGATCCAACAAATAAAAACAGGAGAAAGCAAGAGCAAAAAATAGTTAAACTAAACTAGCCATCCTAAACCTTAATCAAGTTTAAAACGGCCAGGCCATCGAAAAACATGAAACTAGATACAAATTCATGACACCATATACGATCAGATTTCGGGGCAGAGGTGGGGACGGGGACGAAAATGAAGCACTTACCGTCTTGAGGATCTTCTTTTGATAGCGATACCCCTGAGGAAGTAAAAATAAGTAAAATTTAAGAGCATGATTTAACTGGAACAAGTGGGAAGTAAAATTATAACAAACAAGACCAATAACTACCTTGTCAGTTCCGTAAATATAATCACAGTAGGTAAATACTGAAGCAAAGTTGCTTTGGCTTTGTCCTCCAACATAGTGATGGTAATCATGATACTCCGCACCACCGTAAAATGGTATAAATTTCGTTAGACTCCAGGGGAAATCATACCTGAATGTGAAGAATATATTACCATAAATAAAACCAGGGATGATCTATCTCAACACTCATCATAAAAGCACAATCTCAGAAAGAAAAGAAAAAGAAAAAGACAGAGGTGGAAAAGAAAGAACAGACTACACAGCAAGTAAAGAGAAACAATAGGGTCGTTCACATGAATAGTTGATTCGTAATCAAAATAAGGTTAAATTACCATTTTAGTCCTTGTGATTTGCGCTTGGTTTCAATTTGAACTCTATTAGTTTTAAAAGTTTTGTTGTGCTCACTATCGTTTGGTTAAATCTCCCAGAACGCCTATGCTATTACTGAACGTTAACATTTTTCTGGATGTGACATGTTTTTTTAGACAGGGCGGAGAGAGAATAGTGGATTTTACTCAAAGATCCACCTGTTTAACCTTACTAAAGGCAATTTCATCACCTCTTTCTGTCACGTCCAACAAAAACATGACAGGTAAAGAAAACTATTAACATAAGGAAAAAGATGATTATGAAGTTTTTACGACTACAGGGACCAAATTGAAATTAAGCCTATAAGAACTAAAATGGTAATTTAACTTGAAAATAACAAAAAGATTGAGAATGAAGGGGTTGACAGTTCATTCACAATAGTCAAAATACTAATGTTCATGATTATGAAACATATTAACTGTAAAAAATTAGTCTGTAACTGTCTCCTATGAATATATCCTTCAACTTCAGATTACTGTTATGACACAGAAGACTTCAATTTTGAAAAATTTTTTCAACTAAAGGTATACAACATCTTTCCATCAATGTTCATGCGAATCTCAGTCTTTGAATGGAATAGACAAAACGATTGAACTTCAGCAATATAAAATGATAATACATATAGCTATTCATGTTCAAAACCAAATACTAGGGGGATGTTCAGCCACAGGAAACCCACCAACAGCCCAAGCTATGACCTACATGACCAAAGAAATGATTATCTGACACCGCATTTATTCCCAGCCATAAGCCTTGGCATCCATTATTTTGGTTTCAGGCCCAACTAAACAATTTGGAGGTCAAATCAATGGATTCTTATTTGAGTAAGCTGGCCCCCTTTCAGATGTCAATTTACTTTTCTTTCCTTTCACTCCTCTAATTTAATAACAGTTCTAAAACGAGTGCAGTCAGAGTCAACATGAAGAACAGGACTTGATTTTGGTCATCACCAATACCATTAATTTTCCGGGGATGTTTAGCTCCCGGTTTAATGAGGTTGGGTTTATTGAAAAGTTTGAGTTTGTATAATCTATGTTTGGATTGTATAAAGGAATACGTCATGGAAACCTGAATTTGTCTAACTATTGGGTTTCATAATTCAAGATTTATAGAATATTGGTTTGTGTCGCCTATGAAATTAGCAAAGTTGTTGCTTAGGATAAGCAAGCCGTGTAACAAAACATTTGGTCGGCTTCTCAACCCTAGGTTACAGAAGCCAAACCCGTGATGTCTTGCTACACATCAGCTCCTTGTTCCTTTTTCCTCCCGTTTCCCATCTGTTCCATTTTCCTCCCTTCTCCCATCCTCTAACAATCCCAAGGCTACAAAACTTTAACCTTGAGTTACCCTCCTCGGGGGGTAAACCTGAGGCCGTATACACAACCGCAAACAGAGTAAGATCGGGAATATTGGGAATGGTTGTGAGCTATAGCCTATAGATTTTCCTTAAGATTCAGTTATCATGTTATTCATTATCTTTTTTTGGATAAGAATCATGTTATTCATTATCTTCCCCAAGAGATGTTGTTGCAGGCTTGCAGCATCACTTCACAACGATATTCCCCATTGCATCCATTGTACGTTGCCTACCATAGATGCAAATACATCGACACAACCAACCATTTCGTTGTTTTTCCTCTCATCATATATTAAATCCATTATTCACTATAGTCCAATAAAGTTAAGTACCACTAATCAGATAAAGTAAAATTGAAAGTTGTTCTTCCACAACTAAAGTAAGATAGGTTAGGATATATTCAATTTTTCTTTTTCATATATAATCAGTACTCCCCTCAAATGAGACAAACGTTAGCAAAAACGCCCGATACAAAATTGAGAAAAGAAAAAAGAAAAGAAAATAACATTGGATTGCAATTCAAGACTTGCTACTTTCATACCATGTTAGATCATGGAGTTTGAAATGATGTCCATGAGCTTAAAGCATATAGGGGTAGTGGGCCCTTAATATTTTAGTGTATTAAAGTCAAGCTGCTTAGGCTAGGCTTCTCATTGAAGATTTTTACATCTTCTTAAGCAAAGTTCAAAGGAATCCGTCCTTTCCCGAAACCGTATGAAGAATATGAAAGCTGAGAAAGTTGATACTGGGCACCGTGAAAAACTTGAGAAGGGTAAATTTAATGGTTTCAATATTTCTCAACGAAAATTTCAAACTTTCATTCTATCAAGTCAGAAGGATCAATGATTCAGTATGCTATAAGTTCATGCAGTAATGATATGAAGTCCATATTGGGACCAAACATATATATAGAAACATATAATAAGGAAAAGGCAACCAAGATTAAAAAAAGAAGAAAGGAAAAGAGCAGATCACAGTCCTAGTCAACAAAAGTTAAACCCACCATTCAAGATCCTTCAGATTAAAAGTACTTTAACACAAAGGCATTGGCGAAGAGATAAAAGAATGCAGAAAAAATTCAAAGTCGGCATCATTTTGTCGTGGTCGAATAAAGGCACAGTGCAGAAGTGAAAAAGGGAAATAATTTTTTTAGAAAGACAGCAACAGAGATAAACAGACGAGAGAGAGAGAGAGCTTTAGCATGCTTACCCACTATGCGTTTCAATGGCCTCAATCTGCCTTAAAGCAATCCACAACCAGAAGGTGATCATATGACCAGGAACCATGGCTGGACCAAGAAAAGAGGGAATTCCAAGGACCAAAACCTCAGCCCAATGAGCATATGGTGCTGCAAATCCTATAGGAGCTGTGTATTCATGGTGAACCCGATGGATTTTCTCGTACCCCCATTTGCAGTGAAGGAATCTATGAACCCAATAGTTTGTATAATCCTCGATCATGAAATAAACCAGTAATTGGGAAAGAATTTCCCATCCTGAAGGCAATGGCAACCCTGTCCTGATCCCAATCATCTACCAAAACAAAACCCAACAAAACAAATTAACAAACGAATGAAAATGAATTGATTCGTAAACTCCATAGCAGAATCGATGAATTAAAAGATAAAAATGGGAACCCCAGATTTACCTTAATGCAAGGGAAGGAGATGAGTTGGAGAGGGCCAACGATGAGGAAGAACATCCGCATGACATCTCTGTAGCAACGGAACATCTCGGAAAAGGGCAATCGGACTTTTGGCTGAATTTTGTACTTATAAATTCCGGCTGCGTGAAGAATCTCGAGGAAGACGAGGGGGAGGGGAATAAAGGAGAAAATGAGGAAGAGGAAGAGAATGTTGTGGCAATAGAGGAAGTAATCGGACTTATCGGCGGAGTAATTGAACCAGAGGGTCTCGGCGAAGGTGAGATTCCGGCCAAGCGCCGACTGGGCTTCGTGGAGGGACTGAAACGGCAACATTGGGGAGCGGCGGAGGAGAACCCAGATGGAATTTACGCCGCCGGCGGAGGAAGAAGCGGCCAAAAGGGATGAAATATGAATGGAAGAAGAGAATCGAAATCGGGAATCGGAGAGAAACCCAGAAAGTTAAAATTATGCGGGAAATTTTGAAGGACAGAGAAGAGAAGAAAACAAGAGGAAGGCCGTGAAATTCTGTGGATTCAATGTTTGTTTATATATATGTGCGGAGGAGAATGCTGTCCACTCCATTGCCGTCTGTCACTCCCTTCCAAATCTTTCACATGCCTTCTCTCTCCACTCTCTCTCTTCCAAATCTTTCACGTGCCTTCTCTCTCCCAACTCAACTTAGTAACACACCAATTCCCGACTCTCTCTTTCGTAATAAATCTAAATCAATCGAGGTTAAGATATCTATTTTAGATTAAAAAGTTGTGAATTCCAAACTCTATCACTATATGACACTATTTCTGACTTTCTTTCTCGTAATATATAGATCTAATTTGATCCTAACTTTGTAGATAAGTCAATCCAACTTAGCTCAACTGATTAAGGTATCTATTTCAAATTGAAAAATCGTAAGTTCGAATATTCACCTCCATATATAGTACTTAAAAAAATATAAGTAGATAAAACTTCTATCCATTTAAAATTTTTCGAACTCAAAGAAAATAATAATAAAATCTAATCATTAGAAATGTTACAGAGAAGTCGCATATAGGGTCATGGGTATTGCTTGGGTTTTTTAATGAATTTTTGTCAAGTGAATAATGAAAAATTAATATCAAGAAGTCAATAGACCAAAATAAATTAGTTTTAAACTTAGAAAAAACAATATTTAAACTTAAGTTATGTAATATAAACTAACATAGATGTGCACCTTTTATTTATTTATTTGATAAGTAAATATTGAAGCCATGTGATAGGTCAAAAATTGCTTTTAAAAATAGAAATTTTTTAGTACAATTAATTTGTGGGGTAGGAATTTGGATTCATAATCTTTTGATTGGGATAGATGTCTTAAATCACTGAATTTTTAGAACAAATTTGATTTTGTTTAAATGATTAATTAAAAGAATGAAGGATAAAAGACTAAATAATTTTTTTATACAAATTTTAAGAATAAAAATAGAATATTTGAATTGTCTCTTGAGATTAGTCGAAGTTGCCCTAAAAATAATCACTAAAATATAATATCAATTAACATTAAAATATAGTTTATTTTGACTTTATTAAGTCTATTTTGATTAATACTTGGAATTTGCTTATTCAATAACTCACTTTTATTTAAATCGTCTACTTTCAAATATTAGCAAAACTTTTTTAATTAAAAATGTTAATTCGGCTAATAATTGACCAACTGAATCTTTAAGTTTGTAAATGTGAAATATATTTCTAAAAGTGAAAATTAAAAAAAAAGGAAGTTGATAGTAAATAAATTTATTTCTAAAATTTAAAATAAAATAAATATCAATCAAACAATTAAATAAATGGAAAACAAAAAGAAAAGAAAAGATATTTTGATACCAACCAAAACTTCACCAATAAAAGAAAAAAAAGAAAAAGAAAAAAAAAAGGCAAGTAGTAGAAAAATGTAAAATATTAAAAGATTCATAAATATTTAAACGCTTTGCTTAATAATGTTTTTCTTTTTATTTTCTATTTTAAAAAATTATGTGTATTTACTATATTTTTATTTTAATATACTTTCAGAATCATTTTTATAATCATATCCATTCTTTTAAAGTTAGTCCTAAAATAATTTTAATATTTGTTTTTAAAATCTAATTTAAATAGTAATAGAATCGGATTTCCACAAATAATTTCAACATTATGGCATATTGTTATTATTATTAATATTTGATGGATGGTACTTTTTTTTTTTTGAGTGATTTTTTTCCCTCCAAATGAAACAAAGTTCCAACGTTCTCTACCTCACAAATTTTTGTTTTTTAAGTAAAATTAATCCTGAAATAAAACTTAAAAAAAGGTTTAAATGTAATAAAAATGTTCTATCTAATTCGTTGAAAATGTGATTTATCCCGTTCAAAATGTTGATGTCAATGTCGATGAAAATGTTAAGATCTAAATTTTATGGAAATATCTATAAAATATTGACAATGTTGATATCAATAGATATTTATAGAAAAATTATAAAAAAACAAATATTTAAATTAATAAATAAAATTTCACTATTTTTAAATAAAGTTAAAAATTATTAATATTAATAACATATTTATATCAGTAATATTTTGTTAATTTTTCTTTTATATTTTTTCGATACTATAAAAATGTCGACTCACTCTCCTGTTGATGATGTCGAATTGTGATGTTCTTAAAAACCATTAAATTTTAATATCAAAATAGATAGTAGATGATCAATTCAAAAAAAATGTTTTCTGCTTTTAGAAAATATAAACTGAATTTTGTAGTATGGACACGTTGTTCTTTCGAAAAATTGTTTGTTTAAAATCATCAGAAAAAAATATTAAGTATATCTCTTAATTTAAATATGTTAAATTATTTTTTGACACATATATTTGTTAAATTAATAGGGAGAAAGCAACTGAATACATAAATCAATCTCAACCAATTTTAATATTTACTAACAACATAATTAAATTCAACAATGTTAAAATATAAAGAATTTGAATTGAGATTTTTTAAATAAGACTAAATTAGAAAAAACAACTCTCAGACATCAGAAACTAAATATATATAACTTAACTCGTGATAAAAAACCGTGAGTTCGAATCTTCATTACATATGTGGTACTAAAATAACTTTTTAACAAATTTAAGCATGACATCAAGATATTTTTCTCTCTCCTAAACCATATATTTATATATATAAATTGAAAAAAAAAACATTAGCTATGGAACTATTGACTTTAATGCAAATTTAAGTCTAAACAAAAAATATATATTTAAGATAATTAATAATGATCTACTGTAATAAATTGCAATAAGTTCAACTTACCAAAAATAAAGAGACATTTGAGGGGAAAAAAAGGACACCAAGTTTATAGATATTAGTCAAATAATCTATGGCCTACATCCACTTTTTTTNGAGAACATAAGCAATATTTTTTTTACAGGAAATATAAAATTCCTTCTAATTGTCACATCATGATGAGTAATATTATAGAGTTAATTAAAGATAAGCTAAAGCTAAATATATAATTAATTTTATATATTTAGTTTGGTGTATAATTTTAAAATTTTTAAGTTTATATTTTATTTACCAAATCTTTATCGTCACAAAACATTAAAATTAATTGACAAAATAATAATATAATGCCAAAATATATTTTAGCTGAGCGGTTATTGGTATTATCTCCAATTAAGAGGTTGTAAGCTCGATCCACCACCTCCACATGTTGTACTAAAAAAAATTTGGGTTGAAAATACTTCAAATTTTAATTTGATAAAATAGGCAACTCACTCATAAAATAAAAAATATAAATATGTAGCAAACAGTAATAACATAGAACGTTTCTCTATATTGTTTATTATTTTTTGTTTCTTGTTATTTGTTTCCTATTTATGGTTTCTTTTTTTTTCAATAAAAAAAATAATTGCAATTGGTAACCTTTTTCTTATTATTTCTTTTATATATAACATATTTGTTAACAATTTATTATTTCTTGTCCTTTAAATTTTAAAACTAAAAAAAAGTAAAAGTTTTGTATGAAAAATAATTTTTAATTAAATATTTAAAAATTTATGTTATATTGAAATCTTTGATATTTATTGTAAATTTTATAAGTAACAAATGATAAAACAATATTTTTATCTATAGTTTGGAAAGAAAAAAAACCAAAAATATGAAGAAAAAACAATAACGGTTACAAAACCCTTATATTTCTAAAAAAATTGAAATAAGAAATAGGAACATTATCAAGAGTTGGTATATTAACCGTCATGGGATGACTCAAGTGGTCGATAAGGGCTTTAGTAAATAGTAAAGGACTTGGAGGGAATGAGTTCAAATCATGGTGGCCACCTACTTAGTGGTTAAAATGATTATTTTTCAAAAGTACATGCACCAAAATTAACATTTTGAAAGTACAATAACTAAAATGAACCAAACTAAAAGTATAGGAACCACGATAGTATTTGAACCAATTTTAAATTATCTGATATATTTAAAAATTCATATTTTCATCTCTTCAGAATTTATTCTCCTTTAAGTTTATAATTGTTTCATACTTCTTTGTAATTCATTTTCCAATTTCGCATAGAAATTTTGTGGTATATTTCTTCACAAGTATTTTATCTCTAATTTTTTCCTTTTATATTTCATTTAATGTTTAATTATATTTGGATTTATAATTGGCTCAAATTTATAGATTACCCTAGCTAGTATTAATTCGTACTTCTTAATTCTCTTCCTATTCTTTTAAAACTTTTAACTTTATAATTAATGTATCAATTTATTTTCATTAAATATGTTTATTAAAAAATATTAAAATTCTAATGATGCGGAATTGAAGGTGGATTGGAAAGTTAACACATGAGAGTAGCTCAATTGGTAAAGATATTATAAACTTTTATACTAATTAGAATGTTCAAATTTTCCCCGCACATTTGTGTACTACATTTAAAAAAAATAATTCATTAAATTTAAAAGTGGTTCAAACAAACGACCGTTTAAATGTTAAAATGAGCATAGTTCAGCGCTAATTAACATCTACTCCTCTTGAGATCGGAGGTTTGAACTCCCGTACCTCCAATTTGTTGTATTAAATAAAAGACCCTTTATATATAACTAGTTAATATCACGTGCGTTGCCCGTGATTCTAAACATTTTAATATAATATTTCTAACAATTTAACATATAGATCGAATAACAACAAAACATAACTTTTAAATGTACTAATATTTTGTTTCAAATAAAATATATTTAATATAATATTTCTACCAATTTAACATATAGAATAACAACTCAACGGAACTTTTAAATTGAACTAATATATATTTTGTTCAAATAAAATATATTATTATTTGTTGACATTTTCAATAATAAAAAAAAGTACAGTTTTCAAACTAAAACAATAAAATAAGAGGTATAAAAAACATTGAATATACTATAAAATTGAAATAATGAATGTGGTTATCAATTTTTATACTCAAGTGTATTGTTAATTAAGACATAATAAATTAAATCAAATTATGTAACTAAAAATTCAAACAGTAGTGAAATAATTTGTTAGATTGTCAAAATTATAATTAAATATTAAATAATTGGAACAAATAAAATTACTTATAAACTTCTGCCCACAATGATTCATTACTATCTATGCAAACATAATTGCAATGCAAAA